CTTTGGTTATAATAACAATTTTAACCGTTTTATTACTTTTTTTGTTACTATAATTCGCAATATGCCCTGTCGTTAAAAAGTGAAGGCAGTAAATAAAACGGTGTCAACTTAATCACTGCGAAGCCGAAATAACTGCAAAACTTGGACACCAGACCAGGTTCGAATTCGCGATTACTCTTTTCGGAGCTCGCATATTAGCTTTCGTCTTGCCATTTCCTCAGCAAGTTTTCTATCTAATGGTGCCATCGAATCTGACATGCCACCCACATTTTGCAAATATCTCAGCCTCATGGTCTTTCCTCCCAACTATTTACCACCTTATCGGGGCTGGGACGTGTCCTTGGGTGTCGAGGTGCGATGTGTAGAGAGAAGATTCAACCTCACTGCAGAGCCTTCCAATCTGAGAAGGAGTCCAGCGTTTCCATCAGGAAAACCAGCTAAAAGTAAGCCAATGCCAAGATCCACCGCCGTCCTAGTATCAAATTAATCGTGTGGTGACAAATCTTCCTCTAATCCACAAAGGTGGCGACTGCGTAGGGCGGTGACAACCCGATGCAAACATTGGTCTGGCTGACCTCGACACTCCGGGGATCACATTGGCTAGATAATCCAGCAAAACTTTGAAAGGATGGGATTTATGCTGAGACCCGCACAACCAATGAGGATGGGCCATCCAAGTTTAAAATTTACTGTCTTAATAGTGTGACCAAGTCGCGCTTTGCTAATTGCAGTAAAAATTAGAGCATTGTTTACTCCCAAGAAGTTGCATCAGCCAATCGAGGTTTGATAGAGTTGATGTTTCGGCGGATTTCGCCTTCTACAGAACTTGGAAAAATCACTTTGACTGGAATCTAGTCAGCCAAATACAGCTATATCCTCAACTGAAAGGACGTTGAATCGCATAGAGAACATGATAACTTCTTCACACACCCTTTTCTATGAGTGAATCTTCTGCTGCGTCTTCTATGTGTAGACCAGCCGCACACAGTTCAACTATTCAACAGCAATCGATCCGCATTTCCAATGCGATAGAAGTATAGGCTTTATAGTTTTTCTGTTGAGATTATTGAAGTGTTTGACTATGTAGATTTGCAGTCAACTTGACCTTTCGAGGCTCTAAAGAAGGGTAAATTTTCCGAAATGTCAGCTAATAATGGTCTTATCGATCAATGCCGAGGTTAATAGAAAGTCAGGCTTAGGGATTTATTGAGACAAAATGGAGATTGCATACGAATTCAAATATTGAAAAATAAGTGAAGTCATGGAAAAAGTTATGCCAAATTCTTCATTAGTGCTTGACAATATCAAGGATTGGAAGGTAGCGCTTTTAAACAATAAACAAGATAGCATTAAGCAAATGAACTGGTTCAGATACATAGCAAGACGAGCATTAGGAAAAAATTTAAAGATGCAAATGGGTTTTTACGTATACAAAGTAAGTGGTAAAATTAATAGGATATAACTACGGGCATTGTGGAAGTAGAATTAATAGGGTTTCACCGGCTACTTTAGATCGACCCGAGACCTCACCAGAGTCGGGACGGGCGTGTTTGTTCTGATAGATAATCCACAACTGTAATTATTTACTTGAGCTTGAGCCTCTCCTGAGAGGCTTAATCGGAGACGTCACTTTTATGAAAATTGATGTGTTCTTTATGAGGCTCATGATTGTCCGCGCTTAGGATTAATACATAGTTTCACTGTTTATGCAACTGTAAAGCTCCCTTCCGTGGACTGCCACTTGAAGTACAGCTGGCGTACAGGCCAGCTTTTTCGAGGAAATGAAATACACGTGCGAATAATATCGAAGGTGGAAGGAGTTTGAAATAAATTAAGTTTTTAGGCTCATCACCATAATATTTTAGATTGTATACATCATGATAATCATAGTCTTGCTTCTCTCTGGAGCGTATGGAATTCCCACGACGACGTCGACTGTAGAAAACAATACGATCATCCATAACTTTGAAGTGAACAAATTTAAGGTCGGCATTCGTTGAGCTGAATTTTCCCTTATAGATGATCCACAAATAAATGCTTCTGTTGAACAGTAAAAAAGTAGTAGAGCTACAGTAGAAAACATTTAAAGTAAATAACCTAAGTAATGTCTAAATAGAATTCTTAGGTTTGTTAACGCCAATAAAAAATGATATTCTAAGCTTTTTTTCTTGAAAAAAAAGCGGTATTGGTTATAGCAAAAAATCGCAGAAGCGCATAACTGGTAGCACCCACTAAATTGTCTTCCTGGATTTAGTGCTAAATCTCGATGTAGTAGGATAAGTAAAAGGATAAAGAAGATAAAGCTTTCGGCGTTGATTAATCCCTGAGAGATGCGCCATACATTCGAGTTCATTAAGCAGCGTTTGCAGGTGACTACATGAGTATCTGGCCTTTACAATGATTTGCGTTGGCCTATAGATGTGTCGGACCAGTGCTGCTTTCCTTCCAGACAAGTCTGATACCAATTTGCCGGCATCGGAGGGATAGAAGGCTTGGTGGGCCATGGGCTCGAGAATCGATTCCACGCATGTGTTGCAGGGCGCCTCCGACCACTGCGCCACACGTGCCCTATGTAGTAGCAAAGGCTTAATATACTACAAGCAGAAATTACAATTTTGGCACATTGTCTGGTTGTGCCATCTTAGAGCTATATTACAGTGAATCGAACATATCATTCATTTGTCCAAACTATGGCTGAAAACTTACCTGAACCTTCTGGTTTCAGGTGCTGGTTGCTCTTAGCACACATGGTTTATGTGTCATTTGTTTAATTGCCAGTATAATAGCCAATAACGTGACAAAGTGTTCGCAGATTTTGCCCCCAGTAGTTGTAAGTTGTTTTGGTTAAATTACTTCTTTATATTGATATTCTCACATTTTTGTGTTAGCTCACTTTCCTCTGTCTTCACATCATCATGAAACACAGTTGTGATTTCTCACGCGCTACATGCACGTCTGTCCCAGCCAGCTTAGATAATCACAGTCGATTATTCCACCATTAACACATTTTGGAAAACTGTGGATCCGAAAAGAAACATGAAGCTTAGGTATTCTTTCTTGATAAGCTTGCACGAGGTCGGCTTAGCCAAAAATAAATATATTTATCAACCTCGTGGAAGCTTATTAAGAAAGAATACATATTGATTAGTCACACCGAGGTTTAGGGAAGGTCGGTTTCGAAATGAAGCTTAGGGTTAGACGGCCTTGCCAGGGTTTTGAAGCGATTCATACTGCTTTCTTCTCATTTTCAAACTCTTCCATGAAGTTTTTTTTTTCTTTATGTACACTTAGTAACTAATTTATCTTTGTTCGCGGTGTTCCGTTTGACATTCAACTGGCAAAGTAAACTTTTCTCATAAATGTCTCCACGGACAAAAAATGTTCTCAAAAAATAGTTACCTTGTATTCTCGTTCACCTTAATTCCCATGCCTTCTGGACAGCTCTCATTCGAGACTGGCTAAGCACAGCCTACCAGACATCCGCCAGCTATCCAAGTAACAGAAAGACATAAACGTTCGCCTTAATTCAGTTGATTCATCTGATCTTTGTACATTTTATCTGCCACCACGAAAACACCATAGATTTCTGCTTCATCATCATCCATGTAAGAGAGCAGGTCGTGAATGTTTTTCCTGAAATAGTGGTCGAGCCTCCATGATATGGAGTGCATCTTCTATTTCCTTGAATATTTACTGGCTATTTCTAACAAGCATATAGAAAAATCTTACGCTAAAGAGAGGTCGACGACGCAATTCTACAAAGCAGTGTTTTAGATAATCACAATATTGGTGTTTAATCTAGTTTTCAACGTCACAGGATGCATATCTCTTTGGATACACAAGGATCCAAATCGCTCCAATGGATACTCTCATTCGATACGTGGAACTGCGGTTAGTAGAGTTCCACATTTGTTTGTTTACAACATTCTGGATAAGCTTAGCTTCCATGTTGTAACACTCGTCTTTTGGTACGATTACTTTTAGACCTGTCACTACGTCTTTAATTGGCTTAGGACTTCCCCAAGACTGTTCAATTATCAATGTTTCTACCCTTAGGACTCATTGTTACTGAGACTACATCATCGAGTACGCCAACACCGAAAAGCATAGTTTTCCTGCTTTCTTCTCTAAACCTTATATTCTTGGCGTAACTCCAGACAACGGTGGGCACAATGAGGGAATTAGCCAGGCTCTGCATATTTGCACTCAAGCTTGAGTATGGTAATTAAACCTTGCTTTGAAAAACTTGACAAAGTTTCACATTATTATCATTGTACCGCTGCAACTCTACCACTATCCGACCCACTTGTGAATATTGAATATGAATACATCATTCTTTGAATAAGCAAGCACCAAAAGCGTATTCATCCGTCAAACTCATACCGAACAGAAATTCCTAGTGAAATCTGCTCTGACGACATTCATTCACAGAAGCTTGTTCACTTTTACTCGCTTCGACGAGCTAGATCTGTATCTAGTTCGCTGGTATTTACCACAGTCCTGGTGTTCTCATAGGGTTGGTGGTCGGGTTCCTGCGTAGATGAGGTAATGTTCACTTGTTGGACCTCCTCGCAGCTCTTACATGATAGGTTCTTGGACGTTTTAGAGAGCAGTATTCAATCAGAGTACACCGAGACCAACATAGGCACCATGAATGTAATTACGGTAGAAGGGGATAGACGCAAGCCATTATAGAGTGTCAGCAACGTGGAATCCACTTTTTGAATCCAACTGACTCTTGAAGCATCATTATTTTTAATCCACGTTAATTCGCATAAACATTACTTGCGAAGCACAGCGTAGACCCGTGTACACTCATGCCTTCCCATTTTCTCATAATACATTTAGCTACTTTGAACTCCCTGCAAAAGGATTCCCCTATTTCGATTTCGCAAACAAATTGTTTGTGGATTGCTTAGCAATTAGTCCCTTATGAATCCTGCACAACTAATAGTTAAATACCGCTAGAATTCAATACAAACATTTAAGCTTTTCAGGTAATGTCCACGACTGCAACGCTGTACACTGTTTGGGCGGCAGGTTTTTACTGTTGGAGACAGCCAGACCATCCATCGATAAAAGTCGCCTCTACTACACCTCTTCAGACTAAAGGTGTCATTAAAAAAGAAGAAGGAGAAAATAAAGATGCAAAATTGAAGACGAAAACTAAACCAAAGAAGAGTGAAGAGAAACCGAGAGATGTCGAAATGCAGGAGGCACCAGAACCAAAAAAGCCGAGTGAAGGTTTTGAGAAAGATTCAAGGCTTTCTGCACAGAAAAATATGGGAGAGGGTGACGAGTGAGTACAATTTTGACGAAATTTAGCCGCGGCGGAAACTTTGTTCCTTTGAATTCAGAAGCGTCGCTACGATTTTTGGTTCATTCTTGTAAGGCGACAGCTTTCAAACTCTGATTCAGTTTCGATTTTTAAATCCCTTATCGAGTAGTGTTTTTTATCGAAACTGAATTGAATTTAGCGCTGTTAGAGTGAAAAAGACCAAAAGTGGCGAAATGAGAGGGGGCTCCAAGGAAGCTGAGAAAAAGATCAAACATGGCACTTCTGACGAGAAAGAAGACTCGGAGAATAAAGAAAAATCGGCTAGTCGAATACTATACCATCATTTATTACTTTTACTTTGTCGATTTTTATTTTTATTCCGTTTCATACAACTTTTTTCTTTCTTGTTCATTCTATTTCGTTACTTAGTTGTGTGCCTTTGAGCATGTATAACTGTGTTGAGCACGCAGTTATTTTTACCAATTCTGTTTGAAAAGGTGGCAAGACGTCGGATGCTAGGGTCATCACTATCACAAAGTTAAGAATTTGTGACATGTCAATTGCTTTAAATGTAATTCACTTTTTAAGGGAAAATCAACAAGAAATAAAAAACTGAAAAATGAGGAACAGGAGAAACAGGAAGAATAGTGAAAGCTAGAACAAGGTGCTTTCACTAGTTTTTTCCCTAACTCTAATCAATCCCTATATAATGATGAGATATTTCCAAAACTCCGTGTGTATGCAGTGGGGAACGAACACGCGCTATTGCCCTTACTGGGGAGTAGCTCACTTCACCACCACACCATGCGGGTCCTTTGTTTCGCCTTTCTCACAGCTAGTTCTATTGATCTATTGCCATCAGCAATCACCTGTCAACGGGATTGGTCTGGGGAGCCCAAATCGGCATTGAACCCAGTTAAGCTGAGGCTTAGCTATAATCACAATCTTAACCCGTTTATTTACTGCCTTTTTCTTTTAAATGGCAGGGTATGTTGCGAAATATAACTCGAGTTATATGCCATATAAAGGAAAAAGGCAGCAAATAAAAGGGTTAGGATTCTAATCAATCCACCAATCCGGTTTAGTGCTAAATTTGATAAAGGATTCTCCTTTCTCGTTAAAATTTGTGCAAAGACCTAAGATGATGGATTTCGGTTTCAAATGGAAGAATCTCTTTGCCATACCTATCTACACATTTGGGTGTCGACTTTCAAACCGGTAGACGGGCTAAAAAACATAGGTTTGCCGCGTGCGACGACGTTAACAATTCTAATAGAACACACTAAAGTATAACGGGTACTGAAAGTCGTCCTAAACACCCAGGAAACTGGAACTAAGGTTAACTTCTAGTTGAAATTTTACTATAGCAAGCAAAACTGTCTTAATCGAATAACTCCGACCCAATTATAGTAAGTAAACATGTTGCGATTCCAAAACTGACGGCCCATTCGAACAAGATGTGGGCCAGTCGTAATGGGACTCTCATAGCACCGATTTGCACCCAACAACTAGTTGGCTTTAGCGGCTGCTCACAGTTCTACTGATCAGCCGACTTCGTTAAAAATGAAGCCTTTAGTGCAGTTGAGCCAAGTTTCTCAGTTGGGATGCCAAGCCATATTTTTTCAGGTCCATCTACTTTTCGTCAAGTATCTATCCCATTGTTGTAAATTTTAACAATAAAGATTGTAAATAAGTCTTAGTGTTTATACGAAAATATACTCTTCTGCTACCATAGTGAATGCCTATGTGCTCGAGTGAGTACCCCCATTAAAAACTTACACTACAATCAAAATACATAAAATGTGGAGCCTTTTCTTTGATGAACTCTCTCAACAGCTGTTCCACATTACTGTTTAAAACAACACGATTCAAGTGAAGTATTTTAGTTGAGCTACAAGTTAAGAAGCCAATTCTTCACATGACCCGTCTTCACATCAACTGCGCACATTACAGAACTTTTTGCACTCGATTTGTTTTTTCTTATCCATCATCAACGAAGGTTTTCAAACTTTTGCGTGCTTGGGTGTGGATTCGGCTCCTCACTGACGATTTTCCGCCTTCGTTATGACCATCGTTGAATGCTGGTCGAGTCAATTCTCGAATTCTGTGAGTGCAATAATGTCCCTGCCTGGGCTGCGAAGAGCAAACTTTTCTCAAGCAATTCTGGCACCACTTTTCCAATCTCGCAGGAATGAGAGGCCTAGTGAAACTGAAGAGTGGTTGAAATCCACCATCTGGCACTACCACTGGGCTACCTATCCGCTAAAAAGGTCTATAGTTCAATAGTGACAGATTTGGATTATCCAGCTAGTACAAAGACTGGTGACTTCTGTCAAAGATGCATTACAGTGTTCATCGTAACAGGTAAATTATGTAAACATTACAACCACAACGATGATGAGATATTCGCAAAATTTGAACCCGGGTCAGATCGAACCATGATTTCCCTTTCCGGAGGCTCGCGCATCAAGCAAAGCGCCACAGAGGCCCTTGATCTGCGTTTCTCTCAGCTAATTTTTTACCCAACGCTGCTATCAGCTATCACCAGCCAACGGGATCGATCTAGGAAGCGCAAATCGGCATTAAACCCAGTTAAGCTAAGGTTGCAGTCGAAATCACAATTTTAACCTTTTATTTTCGAGGCTAATGTTGATGTTAACCTCGATCAAGTCACTCCGGCCGAAGTTAGATGAAACTCGATGTACAGCAAAATGTACTGCAATAGTCTGTAATCAGTAAATTTTTGCTCTTTTCCTAATTTTCTAACTTTTTGAAACAGTTTACTTTTGTGTAGAAATGGCGACAAGAACCCTGCCGACAAAAGTAGGGGCAATTTTGCGTTTACGATAGAAGCTTAAGATATTAAAAAACCCGTTAAAAATCCGTTATGCTTCGACTCCGTAGAAAAATTGAGAACGTGACTGAATTCATATTTGGTATGTGTAATGCCTTACCCACCCAGCGGTTTACCGCCTTATCGTGGCTGGGAGGTATTCCTGGATGTCCGACTGCGATGTACAGCGGAGGATTCGTCTCCGCGGCAGGGTCTCCCAAGCTGAGAAGTCCGGCGTTTCCATCAGGAAGCCTAGATAAGAGTAAACCAATACCAGGATCCACCCCGTCTTGGTATCAAAGTCACATGGTGGCAAATTTCCCTCTGATCCACAAGGGCTGCGACTGCCTGTCGTGGTAACGACTTGGGGTAGACTTTGGCCAGGTTGTTCTCGGGATTCCAAGGAACACAATGGCTGAAACAGCAAAACTTCGAAAAATGGTGATTATGCTCGGGTCCGCACAACTAGTGAAGATAGCCCTTCGAGTGTCAAGTAAGTAAGTAAAGAACGCCTATAATAGCCTAGCGGAATCAATTCAGCACTTTGTGGAAAAAGTGGAAAAACGACAAGCAAACATCGGAACCGTGTAGACGATCACGGTCGATTACTTTACTACAGTTATTCACGATATCTAACTTCAATGATGCTGAGATATTTGCAAAACTTCGGACCGCAAGTGTCTGCGGTGAGGAACGAACTCACTATTATCCTTTCCTGGGAGTAGAGCGTTCACCACCGCACCTTGCGGGTCCTTCGTTTAGCCTGTCTTTCAGCTGATATTCGCGATATGATTTCGTTAACGAATCCACTTTTTTTGTAGAATATATCGTATTCCTTAAGAATTCATGTGAACTATTCTACATGCTGTGCGGATACTAGCACTTCTTATCATTATCTTGTATCCGTTATACACAAAGATTTTAACATTTGAGCGTGGATTTGGCTGATGTCCTCTATTCGTGGATCAAGGATACACTGGAGAAAACGCTCTCTTCCTCATGAACGTCATAGGATACTGATCGAATACATCTTTCAAGGAACCAGGGAATAACTCTGCCAGAGATCTCTGATTGGTCTTTAGCTCGATTTTCAAATATAGTGCAAGTTCAGCACAACATTGTACCGCACTCAGGAAACTCTTCGCTGGTAATTTCTTCTAAGCATCGCTAATTTTGCCATTTCAAGAATCATTTGCAGAAATTATGCCATTCCAGATCAAGGAAAGCTTCGGAACAACATTGTTCTCTTTATTATCGCTACTCAATGAAGAATCACAATCGTGTTCATATTTTAGAGTGAATTACGCTTTAGTAAGTTGTCCAGTTTCGAAAATTCGTGCTAAAATGTACAAAACTTATTTATAAGTCGACTTTAAAGAGTTCTTACATTCACAATGCTTCTGAGATATTTGCAAAACTCCGGACCACATGTTTCTGCGGTGAGTAACGAACGGACTATTACCCTTTCTGGGGGCTAACACACTGACCACCACTCCACGAAGGCCTTTCGTTTCGCCTATCTCTCAGACAGTTTTCTATCGATCAGTGCCATCAGCAATCACCCGTCACTCATCACAGTAAACACCTGCGGTTCGGAGTTTTGCAAATAACTCAACATCAATGTGAATGCATCACACATAGTACTTTACTGCGAAAAATTGCGATATGCAGTAAATAAAAAAGATAACATTGTGAGATCGTAAATCGTTTGCCATGAGTCTGAGTAGTTGAAAAGCTCTTAGAGGGTTATATATATATATATATATATATATATATATATATATAACCCTCTAAGAGCTTTTCAACTACTCAGACTCATGGCAAACGATTTACGATCTCACAATGTTATCTTTTTTATTTACTGCATATCGCAANAAATAAAAAAGATAACATTGTGAGATCGTAAATCGTTTGCCATGAGTCTGAGTAGTTGAAAAGCTCTTAGAGGGTTATATATATATATATATATATATATATATATGTAAATGATATATATGTATGTATAAAGATTCGTAGAAATCAAGTAAAAGAAACTCGCTCTAGTTTAAAAGACCAAGGTGCGATTTATCAACCAGGCACAGCAATTCCTCCTTACAGTACCCGAAGTAAATACACAAACTAACGCATAGTCAGTAGATGCGGCGTTTCAGAAAATTTCGTACAGAATGTTGCTGTTGACACTTGACACTTTGCGCAGCACTAATGGGATTTGCGGTGGAAAGAAAAATATAATCACTTTAATCTTTATGCGATTATAATGGAGCTTTGTCAGAAAGCTTCCGAATCGATCAAATTCTTCAAATGTTTGATGAGCTTTGATTAAAATACCACTTCTAGATTGACACCATCGTCGTTGTTTGGCTTAATCTTCTAGTTCATTCGCTGTTACAAGTGTCAGGTGCTTTCAGAATTAAGAATGCTGGGAATGTTCAAAAAGAATGCGTGCGAAGTGATGAAGCTGTGTTTCTGGAAGACACGTGAACGACAACCGGGATCCTTATCTAACAGTGTTGTCATCGAGAATCTGCCGCCACAATATGCCTTGCCATTTTCGAGATCTACTTAGAAGTAGATTAACAACATTCGAGTATCTTATCATGTACCGGTATGTCCTCATTCATAAGACAAAAAACATTTTCAGTTACAAGATCGAAAACGAAGGACTAAGCATTGTAGCACAGGCAGCTACCTAGATCAAGGATGTATAAGAAAACTTTCCATCAAAAACGTGTTCTCGACGTTAGGTGATAAAGGGTGGGTGTTGATCAAATTATCAGTGGCTTCAAATCTCAATGATTTTGAATGAGGACGACGAAATCAGGTTACGCATTGGCAGCCTTACTTTGCCTGTAATGTGGAAAGTGCAAAGGGTTTTTTTGAAATTCCCACTGTCAACCCACACTGTGATATGCCAAAAGGGCAGTGAAGGACTGTATAATTTTTGGAAAAGGGTTCCATGGCGTAATAATGATAATGTTAGGTTCAATGGCCACTCATTTTCTGAACTGGAAAACCATTAATCCTCGCAAAGCCGTTGTTCTTTTAGCCTGCTTCCATTAAAAGACGACTTTATATCTTCAGTTTCTAATCCTTCTTTTAAATAATGGATTTCCATTTTAAAAAAATTCGTGTGTGGAGGTGCTGAAACTGAGCCATCCGTTTCTAAAGAGTAGTATGGGCTGAAAATTTATACTAGGGGATTGAAAAATAGATGCTATCGTGGAGATTTTTGTTTATAAGTCGTTTTTACCTCAGAGTTTGCACTCACTCGAAGAGCAACGAACGTTCAAGAGTGGTAGAGAAGGGTGTCAACAGTGCAGAAAACATAATGGAATGGAAGAAAATTCAAGAACTTGTGACTTGATCGGACTTTTTCGCTTGCATCCACCGCTTGTAGCTCAACAGTTGGTCGGTTGGTCATGAGACGCATGAAATAGATGAATCAGCGACGTCTCAGACTTACGACAGTTCTTAAATATGTTTTTGGTTGGGAATGCTACTCATGATACCACTGTTCCTGTGCTACGATCGAGCTCTTAAAGCATCTCAACTTTCTTAATCTTGGTGCTGTACACGTTCTCACGTGTGAGGATTTTACTACGTTAGAAATGGCTGTTACTTAATGTGTTTCAGCCTTTATTCACTCATTGAAGGATACAGCGCTCTAACAGGGCATCATTATGTGGGGCGAATTCCGAAGCGAAAAGAATCATTGCCTATGATGTACATCAAGCCATGTGCAATGTATTTCATGAAGTAATTTTAATACAACGCTTTAATCAGCGACAAAAAGAAAAGCACTCAAGAGATTTTTCACCACGAAGTCCAAAAAAATAGGAGAAAAGTTTAGAAAAAGAACAAACTTAGCAACTAAAATGACCAAAAACCTTGCATTCTGACGTTAATAAAACTTGCACATAAGAATACACATAAGAGGTAGTGTTTATCAAACTAAACATAATTTACTGTACAACGATAGCAAAGCAAAGTGAAAACACCTGAGAGTATCGATATGAATCAATGATAATCAATGATAGTCGTCATACTGTATCACATCGCTTCATGAACATAAGTTTTCGCAAAAAACCAGTTCCTCCAATGTTACTTTTTGTTGACCAACTTGTCAACGTTTCTGTGACTGGCTTCACACTGGGAACTGGAGCGAACACAACACTTCTCTTCGGTATAACCGGTGAAGTTGAGTCCTTCGCCAAAAGGGTGCAACGACCTGAAAAACGGAAGATCTCGACGAACGAAAACTGACGCCACCTTCATATGTTCTTACCAAATGTCAGTTATTTTGCTTCAGTAAATACTAAACAAATCTGCAAAAAAAGCATAGGTTTACATAGACCAATTTATTAGGGTAACATTAACTACGGCAAGAGGGCGGATAGGACATCGGTAGTGATGTTGGTCAACACGAGCATGGCACTAGTTCGATTCCGCACCGGACCACCAAGCCTCTCATCCCTCTGGAGTCGAAAAATTGGTACAGGACTTGTCCGCGAAAAGAACCATTTTCTGCAATTCAAATGAGAACGCTCCAGCCCGGTTATCTCAGGAAGGCAGCGAGAATCGACTTGACTAGCATTCTACGACATTCAAGACGAAATGGAAAACCTCAAAAAGCAGTTAAAGCCATAAGCAAAAGTTGGGAAACCAATGGAATGATGCAGTATTGTCCAAGTTCCTCCCGTTGAGGTTAACAGACTGGCAGCAAACTCCCATTATCGAGTGGAGTGAAATTTCTCGCTCGTTAAGAATTGGCATGAATCATACGTCATCTTATATCTACTTATGAAATAGTCTCAGTTTACCAGTAAACTTACCTTGCGTATAACTTGTGTCCTCAAACAATGTTGGTGTGGAACACAATTCCGGCAAATACACTTAGGACTATAGGGTGTTGAGCAAATTCAAGTGTCACTTAATCACAAACAAAAGAATATCGTGAAGAATTCATCAAACACCTCTCAGAAAAATCGCCCTTTGATTTTCTTCTCGGCCCCTTCGTCTTCAAAGTTGACGTTACCGTAATAAATCTAGGATTTCATGGAATTCACAGACGAAATGAGCCACTTCGAATAAGAATATAATGAACTGAGAAATATTTCATTCTAAATGGACATTAACTTCAAAGTGGTTTAACTTTGTTTCTAAGCAAGGACAAAACACTAAAATGTAGGCTAAATAAAAAGTGAATGGCGCTGAAGATAATCACCGTCTTCCCAACTATTCTGAATGGTGCGACGTGACTTCTTTTTCTGAATGTTTGTAACGTCAGTCATTCATTAGTATTCATCCAACGCCGTTCTTCAGTATTCAGTGACCATGTAGTGCTTAGTTACGTATTTTTCTTCTTTTTTTGCTATCCAAGGCCGTGTATGAATATGAAGGATAAATGTTTACTTCTTCTCTTCTGCCTGCTACAATTTTAACGGCACGATATTATGCGAAATACAACCACAAGATTATGAGATATTTTTGCAAAATTCCGGAATACGTCTGCGGTAGAGAACGAACGCGGTATTACCCTATTCGGGGAGTAACGCGTTCACCACCACACCATGTGGGCTATTCGTTGCACCTGTTTCTTAACTAGTTCTATCAATCAGTGCCATCAGCAATCACCCGTCAATTGGGACTGATCTGGGGAGTCTAAATCGGCATTGAACCCGGTTAAGCTGAGGCTGTAATTGAAATCACGATGCGAAAACACTTCGCAAAATTCCTGACCGCACAACAGAGACATGCGGTCCGGAGCTTTGTAGATGTCTCATCATCTTGTAGATGAAGGATAAAATCAAGGTTAGAGAATTCCTTGTTTTCAATTTTTGATCTCTCTTACATCAAGTGAAGCCATCAACTTTGCGAAAACTATAAATAAAATCTATGATCTCACGAGTGAAGCTTCGAGTGTATGCTGGAATATTTACACCTACTACAATGACGAAAAAATGATAACATAAAGGATGGACACAAAGAAATGCTGTGTAAAATCAGAAAAATTCTTTCGATTTTTATGGCAGACTAATGTGATTGGCCTCTTAGATGATCCCCAATCGATTAGACGACTAGTTAAAGGAATCACTGCGACGCTGAAAGAATACTAATTGCAAGGTAACAAACATCTAATGGAGTGATAAAACTTGTATTGAAGTTGGTTCGGATTTGCTGCCAACAAAGAAGTCTAACGTTCATTAAGCTACCCATGAATTTGCTCAATCTCACGGAAGAGTTAAACCAGCCCGAACAAAAATAAGGGATCATACAAAAGGAATGCACTTTTGACAAATTTTGAAACTAACTGTGCCTATCGTTGACTGATGTAGTCGCGTTACTTTTGCGCACAAACGACCGGAACTGTGAGCTTTTCACTGATGACGTCATCGCATTGAAATCTTCGTCTGAGGCGAGAAAACGCCAACCAAGAAGACTTCGCAAGGAGACGCGGAAACGCCTGAAACCAATCTGATTAAAACCGGCACTGTTAAATTGCGCCTCGAACTTCAAAACTGTAGACTATAAAGAGGTTCTTTTAACGTGATGATCGATTTTCGCCTTCTCATCTTCTGCATGGATTCCAGCGCGTCTTCTATTTAATGTATTTAATTTACCAGGCACCCATCACCCACGACGGCGTTTTGAGTTTAGGTGTAGGCTCGGTTGCTGCTTAAGGATTTTCTTTTTCATGAATGCGGCGGAATGCTGTTAGCACTAGCACTACTGTGAGTTGAAGGAGATGTGCTGGTCTTAGACAACTCTGATACCAAAACTCCCGATCTGTAGGAATAGGAGCCTTTGCTAGCCCGGTGAGTGCTTGAGTTAGCGCCTTGTCCGTAGTGAACGTAAACACTATCACAACGCGACCCATCCCTTGCTTCAGATAGTTAAAGCACTCATCATAGCGATGCCATAAACATCATGTGTAGATTGTGTAGAACATCACAACAAAATGGACGTTTATTAATTATTCGATTAAAGTGTAGATCATAATAAAAAAAACTCAAAACATTCTAGACTAAAGCAAACTTATTAAATTCTATAAGAGAGGAGCAAGTGTGGAACCGATTTGTCTCTAGAGATGGTAAATAGTGTTATAAGGTTCCTCTTCGTTAATATTAGTGCCTTTTTGGTGTTTCTTATGGTGGCTTGAAAGAAAAATCACCTCGACATGAGCATATAAACTGCAAATGATATTGGATGAAGTGTGACAAGTATGATATTAGAGAAGGCCCGAAGATAGACTGAATGAGCGAACTCTAGTGAGCCAAGTGGTAGTAAATCCGAGAGCTTCACCAGAACGATTAAAATCGTAGATGGAGCCCTGAAAAAAAAGTCTATGAAGTGTTCGACAGTTTAGATAATCGTAACAATGATTCACCACAAACATTCCTTTACTTTCACTCCGTCACTTAATGGTTTTTTCGTTCATCATTTTTCTTCCTTCTTCTTTAAAGTAGGAATGGCACAGATAAATCAGAATATTTTCCTATGATCTAGCGACTAATTACATACATCAACACTAAAAACGCGACTGTCACCAATCATATAACACCACCCATCAAATGTGATCGCGTGCGTTTCAAAGTACAAAGTACACAGGAGATAAAGCATTCACCACTGAACAAGCCATGAGCGACACGTCATGCATTCAACTCTATTCCAAGCCTCGTATAGGTGTTTAATACGTGTTTGGCTTACACAGTAACTTCTGGGGTCTATCGATGTGTAAGGTCAGTGTTTTATCCACCCAGACACGATTGTCAACTCAGGTTTTGTTTTTCTTGGTTGCGAGATCAAACCAGCAATCACGTTTGTGTTACAGAGCAACTTTAGGAACTACTCTATACGCGCCTAAATTTGAATGGAACCTAGTAAAACCGTACCTGGCCACTAAGAATAACACAATGATGACAGTTAGCATTACCGTAGTGTTTCTTGATGCTGAACTTACACGTCTATGTCGATTCATACTGAAATTTTATTACTATGCTGTTATTCATTTCGAATCAACTCAAAGAAATAAAACAAACCTTAGTCTGGGTGCATCCGACGTCTTAATAGTTCGAATGAGAAGCAATGTTATAATGAATAAAAGTATAGATGGTATAACTATTATACCTATTCGGAAACAGTCAAATACCTAAACACCAACGGCTTTTTATTTGTGTATTAGAAAAAAGAAATGAAGTTTTTCTTTTTATTACCCATGCTAAAGCATCGGGACCCATTGCTTGTGTTAAAGGTGAGTGACCGATGAAGCAACGAGCGACCCAAAACGATGTCGATGGTCCCTGAAATCCATCCGAGAAATTCATTGTTTTTAATCGATTGCCTGCATAGCTTGAGTTGTTCTAATGTTTGAAAAAACAGCATTATAGAATTCAATAAGCCGTTTTTAACACACGGTAAGATTATAACGTTACAGTAGGAAAGGAGGATTACTTTAGCTCCACGAGTTAATTAAACCATCAAATATACTTGTTTTTCTCTAGAATAATGTCTTTTGTAATATAACCTGCACTCTCAACATCTAGGCGGAATGCGAAGCTCTGATCTTCAAAATCTGTCACATCCTCGAGGCCCAGGAGAATACACATCAACAGCGAAACACAAATGGTTACATAATGAGAACAATGGGCGAAAGAGGGACGAAAAAACTGTAGAGTGAACTCCATGAGAATGCATGCGCCTCCCAGGACGACCACTTACTCCCGGGAGGATGTATTTGCAACTAAAGTTAATCGGCCGTACTCGCAGCTGCAGTTGTTTTGCAGATCACGGTATGAGACTCACACGTACCACCATGCTCGTGCAGAACCACCACCATGGACGACGATCGAGAGGGAAACAAACGAATGCCAAATGTTATGGAGTCCGCACAACTCGTGAAGACGGACCATCCAAGTAACCAAGTAGTAGCGCGTTCGTTCCCCACCATAGACACCTGCGGTCCAGAGTTTTGCAAATATCTCAGCAACGTTGTGGTTGTATTTCGCTTAGTAACCTGCCATGAAAATTATAGAAGGCAGAAAACAAAATCGTTAAACATTGTGATTTCAACTACAGCCATAGCTTAACTGGGTTCTATGCCGATTTGCGCTCCCCAGATCAACCCCGCTGACGGGTGATTGCTGTGGCAAAAATATCGATAGAAATAGCTGAGAGACGTGCGAAACAAAGGACCCGCATGGTGTGGTGGTGAACGCGTTACTCCCCGGAAAGGATAATAGCGCGTTCGTTCCCCACCATAGACACCTGCGGTCCAGAGTTTTGCAAATATCTCAGCAACGTTGTGGTTGTATTTCGCTTAGTAACCTGCCATGAAAATTATAGAAGGCAAAAAACAAAACGTTAAACATTGTGATTTCAACTGCAGCCATAGCTTAACTGGGTTCTATGCCGATTTGCGCTCCCCAGATCAACCCCGCTGACGGGTGATTGCTGTGGCAAAAATATCGATAGAAATAGCTGAGAGACGTGCGAAACAAAGGACCCGCATGGTGTGGTGGTGAACGCGTTACTCCCCGGAAAGGATAATAGCGCGTTCGTTCCCCACCATAGACACCTGCGGTCCAGAGTTTTGCAAATATCTCAGCAACGTTGTGGTTGTATTTCGCTTAGTAACCTGCCATGAAAATTATAGAAGGCAGAAAACAAAACGTTAAACATTGTAACCAAGTAGTGTAATTTTTTCCACTTTCGTGATAAATCAGACAAACTGTCACGTTAAACTAAAGCTGTGAGGAATCATTCTCGTTAATAGGCCATTACTGTTGGCACCATTAACGTAAAAAATTGGCTTGAGGGAAGTAAAATCAAAGGCATCAGTGGTGTAGTGATAACACATGTGCCTCCGGAAAGTGTAACCGTTGGTTCGAATTTGGCCTGAGGTCCAAGTTTTGCGAATATCTCCGGATCAAAGTGGTTGTATTTCACATCATACTCTGGAGTGAAAAAATAATATTCAGTGAATAAAGTTGAGAAGTGTTAAGCCGTGTGGTTCTAACAATGGGTTTAGTTAGTGATGCGAATGACGAAATATGAGTACGAATATGAAATATGCATTTGATGGGTAACGGTTTAATTAAAGAAGTTCTACCGAAAATTCCAAGAAAGATCATGCTCGAGTTTTTGTGTTCTTGCTTTAAAATCAGTTAAAGCTTTAGACGTCAATCAATCTCTTGCCCACTTTGTCCCCTACTCAATTCGTAGCATCGTAAATAGAAGGATAAAGAATAAAGCTCTCGGCGCTGACCAATCCCTCAGGGACGCGCCATGAATTCGTTAAGCATCGTTGGAATTAACTGAATGCATATCTGGCCTTTATAATGATTCGCGGTGGCCTACCGATGTATCGAGCCAGTGCTGTTATCCTCCTAGACAAGTCTGCTACCAATTTGCCGACCCCGGAAAGATGGAAGGCTTGGTGGGCCATGGGCGCGGGAATCGATTCCACGTGTGTGTCGCAGTGGCGCCTCCAACCACTGCGCCACACGTGCCGTAAGTAGCATCATAGAGGTAGTAAAATCACTTATGACGGTTTACTTACGCAAAAATTTGGTTTTAGAAACCGGCTTTCTTTAAATCTTTTTATAATTGCTAATACTTTCTTGAATAATTGGATTATCACGATCTTGTTGCAGAAACTTTTATTCGGCAAACGTTTTGGCCCGTTTTTCATTTTCAGAGTCGCAATGGTCCGAGTCGTGTAGGTCTTCGTAGTTGTATCGAGTCGAATCTTCTAAAGTGGAATACCGCTTAAATGCGGTAATATCACCCAGCAGTGCCCCATTTGTACAAGAAGGCTATTGATCTATTGCCACCTAATATATTTATTTATATGATTTTATAAACTGATTTTCTTAAGCTGACGCGAGGTTGGTACAGATCTTCGTTGTCGTTGTCGTTGTTTTTGATGTTGCTGGTTGATGGCTGACGTTTCGGCGACTTCGCCAGTCCCGGCCAGTCCCGCACGTAACGTCACGGCTCTGAGGAAGGCGCCTTTTCCTCGCGTCAGCTTAAGAAGATCAGTTTATGAGATCACATAAATAAATATATCAACTATCTATGCTGAGGTTTATAAAAAGTCGGTCCTTCGAGTTATTAAGAGATGCCACCTAATAGTCGTTTGGATATGTGAGTCACCCCTCTTCACGAGATATATAGAACTCAGCACATTTAATACTTGTTTCTTTGTCTCGCAGTGGTCGTCCATGGTGGTGGTTTGATTCGAGCATAATGGTGGGTGCGAGTCTCATTTCGTAATCTGTTGAACAAGTGCGGCTTTGAGCACGGCTTATTGACTTTACTTACAAACACGTCTGCCTAGAGTGTAGGTGTTTGTCCCAGAGGAGCCGTACATCCTCGTGAACTACTCTCTGGAAGTATTTTCGTCCATCTGTTGTCTGTTCTCCTCACTGTATTACGGGCCCATCTATGTTTCACCATCACTAGCTAATATGGTCTGCTTTCTTAGGCCATCGCAATGCATACTGCAACATTCGGTATTTCATTTGTTGGCCCATGATCCAGATCATAGACGGCTCTGAAAAATGAGAAAATGCCGAAACTTTAACATAGTGAAAATTTCTACGACAACCTCGCATTTGCCTAACCATTCAAGAAAACACGAAATTTGCGCTTTTATCCTAGTACAAATGTCTGCTTCCAATACGTGAAACCTCGAAGGATAGGTTGCTTGGTCATGAAGCGGCGAGGAGTCGAACCAATAATGGCCTGTATATGCGTGACCATTGCCCCACACTCACCCTATGTTCAATTTAAAAAAGTACGAAATGTTGCACACACATCTGATCTCCCTCGTTCGGTCTCTTTTTGCTTGCTTAACATATTGCAGACCTCTCTCTGGCTTCTTGGGCACTTCAAAATCATCAACAAGGAAAATTAGTGTAGGATTAGAAATCACATGTGACATGAGAAGGCTCTGTGGAGTTTTTTACTATGATCCGATCAGACACAGAATTGATCACATAGATACTAAAAATCTTGATATGAAATATTAGAAAGGTGCTGTAAGTCAAATGATCAACCGAATATGGGAAAAAATGAAAACTTTCCTGATCTAAGGAGCAGAGAAATATTGAGAAAGATCTATGGAGAGAAACGGAGAAAAGGCTTTCACAACAGATCCCACTATAATGTAAAAGAATGTAAAGAAAATCAGTAGAGAAAAATTGACGAAAAACTATTTAAAGTTAGGGTTGTGCTCTTCAAAATCACTCAACGGAAAACTTAGTGTACATCTACAATGTATACGTCAGTATTGGTTAACTCTATGATTCTTGACCGAGTATTCCATAACAGTATAAACAAATAAGTGGTCTCAATCTGGTTTCTGAGCTATCGAAGGTGTTCGTCGTTTGAAGAACTAACATCGACGTAATGTCTCAATTTTTAGATTGAATGTTATGGACATAATCTGAAAAGAGGCATGAAATAGGGACGGATAGCACAGTAGTAGTGATGCCGGTCATCAAGAGCATGGTGTTCGTTCGATCACGCTTCATACCTACCAAACATCCCATGGCTCGGCGGTCGCAAATTGGTTTCGGGCTTTTCAGAGAACAAATCACTCTCTGTAATCCAGTTGGGAACACTGTGGCCTGGCTATCTCAGGACACCAGTAAGAATCGACTCGACCAGCATTTTACTACGACATTGAAGATGAAATAAATATCCTCAATTAGCAAGCCGAAGCCACACGTAAATGTTGGAAGACCTTAGTGCATGATGGATGCGAGGAAACGAATGGAATGTGAGAAGTGCTGGGATTCGGACAGTATATGTGAAGACGAATCGTATAAAGTGGAATAGAAACAACAAATAAATAAAAAGGCATGAAGGGCCCACCTGAATGCAAAAGTGATAGATAACCCTAACGTCGAATGTGGAATGAATAACTGTGAGAATAGCAGAAAGTACAAAGATCGCCTTAGAGTAACGATGCATGAGTCGGCGAGAGCACCATCGTAATGAGTCTAGCGGATACTGCACAGCAATGAAGCTGTAATAAATAGTTACGACAACACTAAGTGCAGATCAGAAAATGCTTGGAAAACTTTATTCAGTTTCATGTGTTATTTTTTCTTCACTATAAAGAGTTATTCAGGATAATCCCTTTAATGGTTCACCGCCATAGCCGAACGGCATATCGACTCACAAATACAGCTCTCCCATCAGGGTCATCATCTATAGCTCTCCCACCAAGGTCATTATCAGGACTGAGAAGGATTTCGACATGTCCATCTGCAAGCTCAGCTAAGACACATGCGCTACGTCTGTGCCTGTCGAGCTACCCATTGCAAACGTCTTGACAAAAGAAAGTAGAAATGCGGCTTCATAACAAGAGTGTGATGCTTTTCGTTCTCTCGAGAAAGCGGATTCCAATAGGTAGCTTTAGTTCGCGACCGAAACGGACAAATTCTACTAGCATCCACCCGAATTACTATATTGTTACAGGAGATGCTGATAAATTAAAGTATTGAACATCTTGAACGCGATAGTAAACAATGAAATTCCAGCGTAATGGCTCTCACATATTTCCTTATTTGGTTTTAAAATACTTTTCATGCTAAGTATTTTCCAACCACATGAAAAAGCAGTGCGAGATCGCCACCAAACTTGCATTATGACCCTGGTTCCAGGAAAATTTGGGTTTGAACAGGTGTTCCCCTGCATTGTCTTTGATCAATTTGCACTACGTTCCTTAAGGATTTCCAATCTGGTGGTGATATCTTCAAAATGTTCTAATCCCAGGCACTAGAAATGCATTTAAAACGTTATATATGTGGTAATTCCTAGGACGACTTTCTATTAATCTCGGAATTGATCCAATTAATTCCTCATTCTGTTGTTTAGTGAACATGATACGTGACATTATTCTTTTTGACGGAAAAGCTGACGTTTCGGCGTATTTAGCTTTGCTCAAAGCATGGAAAGGTCAAGTTGACCGCAATCTACCCAGAGAAACAGCTTCAAAACCGAACAGAGAAAATGCTAAACCAAGATTTCAATCGCATATTGAACACAGGATAGCTTCTTTACATAGTTCACCGCTTTCTATGACTCTTCCACTGAATATGTCACGTGGAGACCAACCGCACAGAGTTCACATTAAAGCATTATGTGCCTCTCACATTAGAATAACAGTCTTAAATACTCTTCAATATCACGCGTGATATCAATATCATTATAAGGTATTCCTCCCTGCGGTTTACTTTAGGATTCTTGGAACTGATCCAGAATGCTTCGACAGTTTTGCGCGCTTGTGTTTTCAGTTCCTGTGCGTGGACCGTAACATCTACTTCAAACTCTTTCTCACATTGTCTTTTTGCCCTGTGCGCATCTATTGACGCGTTTGGTTTCATTTCAAGTTCACCGACTAGGTGTTGTTTTACACCGATTCGCCAATGTATTCGACTCAGCACGCTCTACAAGAGATTATATAAACCACATCCGAACTCATGCAACCACCGTCTTTACTATTAGGGCATATAATGCAATTTTGAGTTTTAGTTAGACGATCATACATGCGATTACGAACTGACCGGCATCTGAGATTGTTTGGTGGGAATTCAATCAGTGTTACCGAATTCTCTGGGTCAGCTCCTTCTAAGCGATGTTCTATGGCTGTACCTATTTTTATAGGAATAAAAGGCTGGATAAACGAGACTTTGTTGTCACAAGTCTTATCCTTCTGGTTCTCCTCTACACATATCTCGAGGACCTACAGTTTTGTAGGCATTAGAAATTGATATTTACCCAGCTAATTTCGAGGATTCTTCCTTCTCTCTCTGTGCTCAAAAATTCTTCCTTCTGATCTTTTCCTGTGCATACGCCAGTGAATGTTCGAAACATGTTTCTTACAAGCACCCTTGTGGTGTGTGAGGGTTATAGGAGAGGCAATGAAGCAGTATGTTCTAACTAGTTAGCCTTCGGTAGCACTTCGTTATGTAGTCGTTCACAGCTTAGTTAATTGTACGCTCAGAAATGAAGCCAATTTTCTTCCGGTTTCTGTCCGGTAAACTTAATGTGCTCTGACTATCCATTCAACAACTCAAAACATTTGTCAATCTCCCGTTGTGTGGAGCAAATGATAAAGCAATCATCTATAATATCTACAGCAGAGTAATGGCGGAGAGCGAGTATGGGCTTCAACAGACAGCAGACAAAAACAGAACAACAGACGCGTTGGCAGGGTGCGGTGCAAGACGCTGTCACATTTCCAACCCTCTAATTTGTGCGTAACATTTTCCAGATCATTACGAGCGGGACTCACGTTATGTTCCACTCGTAACAACACGGCTCTGCAACAACAACAGAGACCTATACTAACCCCGTATCAGCTCAAAAAGATCATTTTATAAGATCATATAAATAAACATTTTGCAGACTGTCTGAAGATTGAGTAGTTCAGGAGCAAATTTAGGACGGCCATGAGTTGCTGATTGGCGAAACCATGCATGCTTACTACACCTTCGTGTTATAGAGTTCGAGGATGACTTGCATAGCGGAGTTATTCGACACGCTTGCATAGAAGGCAGTGACGTCGAAGGAGTCCATCATGCACGCGCTGTTGGGTCACGGGTTGCGTAGATGATCCAGGAACATCTAGGTGCTCGTTAAATGGGCTGGAATGTTCTTTGACAACTGGGTCAGTATTAGGGTTAAAAACATCCTATTCTATCTGTTGGTCCGTCTACAAAGTTAATAATAGGTTTAACGTTGAATAACTATGGATCGGTAGACGCAAGATCATCAGTGTATATTAATTTCAGAGTTTTTATAAGTGAATGTAGGACAGGATATGTTGGTAATTGAACTGTGAGTTGAAAAGTAACTGATGGTTATAATCCGGTTTACCACTTTGATCCACTCGTTGTTCAACTTTCAGTATCAACTTTCGAACTCTTTTTCAGACGTTGGGCCACACAGGGAAGCATTTCCAAAATGAGGACTTCCTGCAAACTCTCCACTCTTTCCAACAGCGGATAGTCTTTCGCTTTGCAATCTCATCAGCTCTCATACCTTTCGCATACCACATTTTTATTCTTTTATGAAGCTGGGAAACTAGAGCGAAATCTCTTAAAAAAACAGAAATTAATGGCTTTAAGATTTCGTTCGTAATTATTCAAAATTCTTATATATACACATATATACATATGTGTGTGTACTGTGTACGTTTCGGTATGTGTATGCGCATGTGAATGGATATGTGTGTATGGACGTGCTTCAATTTGATGAAAACGTAAAACACACATCGTCGACGCCAACGGTGGTTCGTTTCCGTCCCTCCGCAAGTTAAACGTCCTCATCTCCATAAAGAAACTTTTGCTAGATACTGCAGAGTTGGATCGAATTCCGTGATAAATGTCACGCCGCTATTTCGATCCGGTTTCATCTCCAGTGTTGACAAACATACAAAGCACAGACAAAAAACATTTTAAATGGCACCATTTACACTTTAATCTAAATGGCCTAAATTAGGTGCTAATTAGTGTGAAGAAAAGTATCCCAAGGGATGCCAAGACTAAGAATAAATGGCTCATGAATGCTGCATGAGAGCAGTTGAGGAACTAAAACCATTCAAACATTCAAGAATAACCGACAACACTCACCGTTGTGTGCCAAGAAGTAGAGTGAAGAATGTGATAAGAGTGTTGAAAAAAAACGGTAAGATTTCCATGCATACCTGAAATTGGTAGACAGAATAACCAATACATCCCAACACTTTACCGCCTCACCGTAGCTGAGAGACTCTCCGGGGTGTCCGGCTGCAATCTGCAGCGGGTGTAGTCGTCCCCCAGCAGGGCCTCGCAAGCTCAAAAGGAGTTCCATTTGGAAATCCAGCTAAGGGTAAACTAATGAAGTAAACCAATACCAAGATCCACCGCCGTCCTATTATCAAACTACTCGGATAGTGGCAAAGCTCTCTCCGATCCACAAGGTCGGCGACTGTCTGTGGTGAGGACGACTTGGGGCAGAGTTTGGCTAGGCTGACCTCGGGACTCTATCGAACCACAATGGCTAAACCAGCAAAGCTCCGAAAAGATGGAAATTATGCTGGGATCTCTATAACCAGTGAAAGACGAGTGAAGCCGTCCAATTATTCAACTTACTACTGCACTACATCAGCAATTGGACATATCTGTGGACGACATGAAAAGATTCTTCCTAGATATTTATAAACTAAACAGATGAGTACATGTTGTTAAATATCAAAGGACAAAAAGCATTTAGAGTCGATCAACTCCTTAGACATGCGAAGCTTATCTCACTTTACTCATTATACGTTACGGAGGCATACTTGATCCACAGAATGCCTTGAAAAGGCCTACCAATGTGTCACAGCGGAGCTTTCTTCAATTTTCCTTTGATTCCAAGACAATTCTGATACCAACATGTCAACCTCGGAAGAATGAAAGGCATGGCTAGTCTGGAGCGCGGGCTAGCAAACTGATGACGACGTCTGTATTGTGAAACCCGCCTAAGCACTGTGCTACATGGGCCACGTATGAACGTTCATTAACACTGTTGCAACACTTTAAACTATGAGAATGGGAGAAACAGGAAAAAACTCACTTTTTGCAAATAACAGAGGAAAGTAGTTTGATTGAGGTCCCGCATATGACCAAGATCATAGTAGAAGATGGTGAATGGCAATGGTGAGGCAGCCATCAGTAACGCACTCACCGCCATCCATAATAAAGGCTCGACAGTGGCTCGTTTCTGAAATACATCTAATCGACTCCCGAACAATACCAAAAACACGTGCATAAACTGAAAATAAGTTGAATTTTTGAAATAAAACATAGTTCCGGTACATTCTTCTATCATTTATTTTCCTCCTCTTTTTCTATTCCTTGTCGTTTGCTTTCCACCTATGTTTCACTTCTCATATGAATTCCATTCAATTTTGATGAAAAAAAAATCCTTTCTTATGAATTCCAGAGAATCTTGAAGTGGAGAAGATGTTCTGTGGTATGAGCTATACAGTTCGGCTTTGTGCTGTGTATTTCAAGAGAAGTCATTCAAATGCTTCGTAGCTGATGCAGAACACTCCGGAGTTGACTGGGATGTCAATTAACGTCTTTGCTGTATAGCCGAGTGCTGGGAAAATTATTTACCACAAAATTGTGGATTTCCTGGTCCGTCAGTTGGCTTATCTGAAATTGTTGAACACTGCTTATGTTTCCCTCCACTTCCTGCACAATTCATCATACGATGTTATTATTCCGGGTTCAATGAACGCTTCGAAAACACTCGTGATAGTGTCTCTGTAATCAAAGAACAATAGAACGATTCAATTTGCTTTTTTTCTTCGCACTATAGGTTTTTCAAAAAATAGGTGCACTCCAAATGGTTATTTTCTAGTTTATACCTAGTCTTATCCTTTTCGCTTCCCAGTCAACTATTAAATCGTTATCTCTGTTTAATTGACAATTCTTGCCTTTGCAAGACGTTACTGTTAAATAGAGATCTAATAGGAATTTAATAACTCGAAAGACCGACTTTCTATAAACCTCGGCATAGATGGTTGATATATTTATTTATGTGGTCTTATAAACTGATCTTCTTAAGCTGACGCGAGGTTGGTACAGATCTTCGTTGTCGTTGTTTTTGATGTTGCTGGTCGATGGCTGACGTTTCGGCGACTTCGCCAGTCCCGGCCAGTCCCGCACGTAACATCACGGCTCTGAGGAAGGCGAAGTCGCCGAAACGTCAGCCATCGCCCAGCAACATCAAAAACAACGACAACGACAACGAAAATCTGTACCAACCTCGCGTCAGCTTAAGAAGATCAGTTTATAAAATCACATAAATAAATAATAGGAATTTACTTTGGAAAGAGTTTCCGTCCGAATTGATCGAACTCATTTCCCATTGCATGGCAGCGATTAAAAGCTTTGACGAGATGGTGTTGTCTTATCTGGCCTATTTTCCTATGGAGATGGTATGTATTGATTAAAGAGTTGCTTTTTCGTAACGTTGGGCTCTGGTGGAGGTTTTCTGTGTGAAAATTCGACTCGATTATCGTCGAGTACTAATACGAAGATAGTTCCCGTCAATAGCCAAAATACGATGGAGATTTTCAAATCCTATGTATGAGGTGTAAGGAAAACGTGCACAAGTTTATTCATTTATCCCCTATTTCTATTCCTTCAGTCCACGAATTCTCTCATTTGACCAGTTCTATCAACAATCTATCAAATAATCAGAAAAAAATGTGAAAACATTGAGTTTTCACGATTAACGAGGCGTCTTGTGGGTCCGTGCACAAGTTCTCATTTGACCGGTGATTTGCTTCTTTGGCAACATTTTCTTCCCCTGCCCTGGAGAGTCGAAGTTAGTGATAAGGCTTGTTTAGGTTGTCACCAATTACTACCCGATTAGTTTCCTGTTGCTAGGATTGTAGTGATTCATGGTGGTGGTTTATCCTTCGTTAGGGCTTCCGGATAAATATGAATGTTGAATGTCACAAATGGGAGACCTTGCTAGTGAAATTAACACCTTGTTCTACGTCTAGCTTCTACACCAAGGTACAACCCTTGCATCGGAACGGTTGTAAATCAATAGTGAACTCCATTACTTAAGTTATCGGAAAATAATAGACAGTTGTCGAGAAACTAAGTTTGACATGGGAGTGTCGCAACCAAAACCTCTTCATAATACAATCAAATTTTGTAGAAGAGGTCCAACCCCAGTACAATCGACCAAATAAAGGAGTTGTAACAAAAATTACTGCTTTCTTCAAGTTTACAAATCCCTAATATTATGGGAATGAATTCGTGTCGGAAGTGTGTTTATGTAAACGAATAAGAGTGATCTGAAAGAAAATAGTTTTGCTGACTGAAATTTCTACGCTCATAGGGTTTCGATTTTCCTAATGTTATTTTTTCTTACCCATCTTCACATCTTTGTGTGCACCCCTGCACTTATTACACTCGATTAGTTTCCTCTTATCAATCACCCACGAAGGCTTTTGAATTTTTCGTGTATGGGTTTGGTTATTACTCAAGGATTGCAGTTTTCTTTATGATCGCTATTGAATTCTGGTGGAGTCGATCCTTTTTCGAGTTCAGGGTATAGAATTCCTGCGTGTATTTGAAGGAATAAGTTGGCCTACGCATGTCTAGTACCAATTTGCCGAATCCGGAAGGATGAGGTACTTGGTGGACCTGGAGGGTTCTCGAACCAACACCGTGTTCCTGATGAAGGGCATCACTATCATTGCGGCACCCACCACCCTTAATATTATTTTACAATATTACATTTCCTGATAACGATGCCGAAATTAATCCCAGTAAAGTTGACTTTGACTTCGATTCCATCTCACCATTGGAAACCTGAACTTAAGACATAACGAAGTTTTCTTCAAAAGAAGACACAACATTCAGATGAAGAATTTCAGAGACCGCTTTCGTTTCCGTGTCACGTTTTTTGCTATTGAACACTTTTGAACTCCTTTATAACGTTGCCAGAAGTGAACTGGTTCCGTGAAGATGCCGAGAAGGTAAAGACGTTCTCTGAGGTTCCTTGACGTAGAAAATTGAATGTCCCCATTATTCGCAGTTGTCTTCTACAAAGTTTTGCTAAAATTTCCTTCTTTCATTTTATTAACAACACCACTATTTCAATACAGTACACAACTAGATGGTCAGTATGAGAGTAAAAGCTATCAGAAGCATAAAAGCACCGAAACGAGTTAACGCTCACGGATTTTTGTCCGTTCATTACCAGGATCACGACACCATTTGAGATCAGAACCACTACTGAGAGAATCGGTAGTAGAAAGCCGTAGATGATCTTCATGTTTGGTTCGTTTTCCTAAACACTCAATGATTTGATATCGGACAATATCTACTATTTTCGTATAGGACAGTTTATTACATTTCAAGCAATGAAATTCTGAGTAGAGACATTCCACTAGTTAGAATACGAGGTGGATCTTATGAGTGAATACGTTCGTCAGTGGTTAAAACACTCTGCTACCGCACCTGATCGACGAATTGTATTAAAGTTGCCGGTACACAAGTATTCATATAGTGATCGAACACCGTAAGAGGATTATCACAAACGGGTAGCGCTGCACCATAGATCTGAAACGAAGAAACGGTTAAAAAAACGTTGTTCATCAACGATCTTCATCGCTAAGCAATAATATTCTTGCTGGAAATTTTTGCAAGTACATCAGTAAAGTGAAATAATGCTGATTGCCTCTATTGAATCAACCAAGAAAAAGAAGAAACTACCGAGGAATCCTCTACCGTTTTCTTATCTTCGTTTAATTTTGTCGCACACTAATACCAACGTAATTGAAAGAGCCTTAAAATCCTGACGCTATACGACGTACATGATCTCTCATTTAACCTCGCTCTTCTCACGAAATTCCCCTTTTTCCAAAAGAACAAATGCAGCAAAAAAAACGACAGAAACAGAGCAACAGCCAGAAGTGGTAGACCAAATCTAACTGAATACGAAGCTTACACGATTTCGCTAAGATCTCTGCACAAGTGACTTATTGATGAATAACGAAAAGAAAGGTGAAAAGAGATATTTGCAAAACTCAGGACCTCAGGTGTCTGCGGTGGGGAACGAGCGAGCTATTACCCTTTCCAGGGGCTAACGCCTTAACCAGCATCCGAGTCTTTCGTTTCACCTGTCTCTTGGCTAAAAATAACGAATGCTTGCTTGAAATCTTAATAAAGGTGCCAAGAAAAGCTCCCTTCTTTAATCTATTCTTCATGTAAAATCAATGACCAAACGCTGCATAGAGAGTATAGCGAGTAAGAAGAGTTTATGGACTAGAAGATGAATTCGAATCCAACGCACCAAACACCTGTTCTGGCTATGGTTCAGCAGTGATGATGGCCAGGTTGCAGGATTCGCAGACTTCAATATTGAAAGAAAGAAGCTGTTCAAAACAGCACCGCTCTGATCACCACATACTTACCAACTTCTAATGTCTATTTAATTAAGCAAAAATGGACAAATGAGAATAGCACGTCGCGAAGGGACAACGACGACAAAGAGATTCTTCTACACATGGACATTTCCGATTCGCCACAATCATAACCTGACACAACATTTCACTAAAGGAACAATTACTTAAGCGTGCTACGTAAATAAAATCTTAATCAAAAAGAGAAACAAAATGATGAATTCATGATTGAAATCGTCTGGATGAATAAGCCACGAAGAGCGAGTTGCTCTGCAATCCTCTGACCAACTTAATTCCTCTAAATTCCTCGAAAACTCCATATATAATCCAATTGAATGGGCAAGTTGTTTTTTTTTTCATTTGATTTGGCCCGTCTTCACGTCTACTGTGCGGATCCCAGCACTTCTCACATTCGACTGCTTCTCCCACATCCATTGCCTATAAGATCTTCCAACTTCTACGTGTGGCTTCGGTTGCTTCTTCAGCATTTTCATTTAATCTCGAATGTCGTAGAAAGCTGGTTGAGTAATTTTTCCTGGAGTCCTGAGACAACCGGCCTGGAACGTTCTCAGTTGGACTGCAGAAAACGACTTTTTCAAAGACAAGTCCGGTAACAATTTCCCGACCACGGGGGTGGGAAGTGATGAGAGGTTTGACTGGCCCTGCCCGGAATCGAACTATCACCGTGTTCGTGATGACTTTTCTCACTTTTTCATGATGAGTAAGTTATGATTATACAATTAGTATAAATTAAACAAAATTGCTCAAATTAACATGTTTTTTATTAACATAAAATGTCCGCCGAAACAAGCCGTTTTGCCAAATACACGAAGTCATACAGCTCCCTCTCTCTCAACTGTAAGCTCTCAACATCAATCATCACCTCTTCAAATCTTGGTAATTCGACGATTACAAACGTCTTATATTCGAATATTTTACTTTTTATAGTATAGTGGACTTATGGCGATATTTTTACACTCCTGTTTGTCGACAAAAAAAAAATTGTAAAAGCGAGACTAATTCATTGAATTTGTTGATTACTAGAAGGCAACGGAGAAGGCTTGATAACCAGGAAGGAACGACAAATGCATTTTCGTAAAACACAACTCTTTCCAAACAAAATTTGGCATAAACACATAGTTGTTTTCGAAAACTACTTAGGTGGTAAACATAATATTCGGAAAGCTCCGAACAACCCCTAACAAATTGGAGTGGAAATAGAAAAACAAATCCATCCAGGAAAAAAAAAACGAAAAAAGGCCGGTAACAAAACGAAAGTGAACGTGCGAAAACTCGCAAAATCTCGAGAAGTGGATTTCATGAAAAAAAAACAACGATATGGGTAGTTTTGAGACCCCTGCAAAAAAGGAGTTAATATCAGCTAGCTTGTCTGCATGAAACCATACTTGAGCTGCTTCACTTGATGTCGCCGAAATAAGGTCTAGTTCTTTCTCATACACGTTGATGAAAATTTGAAGAGCTCATAAAACCAACCACAATGTTGCTGAAATATTTGCAAAACTCCGGACCACATGTGTCTAAGCTGGAGAACGAACGCGCTATTGCCCTTTCCGGAGAGTAACGCTCTCACCACCACACAATGCGAACACTTCGTTTCCCCTGTCTCTCAGCTAGTTCTATCGAACAGCGCCAACAGCAATCACCCGTCAACGGGATTGATCTAGGGATCCCACATCGGCATTGAACCCCGTAAAACCCAGTTAAACTGAGGCTATAGTTGAATCCACAATGTTTAACTTCTTATTTTCTGCCCACTACAAATTTTATGGCTGGGTACTAAGCGAGAAATACAACCATAATGTTGTTGAGATATTTGCAGTATTTATATAATTATAGTAGGCAGAAAATAAAAAGTAAAACGTTGAGCTCATCAATCATTAAACAGAAGTCTTCTCAAAACCGGCCTCTATCAGGATAGATTTCAGAAAACCTTTAGAATAGTATCCTAAAGAGAATACCTATAATTCTGTCGTTTTTACTTGCCCTAGGCTGATGTAGGAAGCTATTTTAACTAAGTCGAGTTTTCGTTGAGAGAGTGCTTGACCAACATTACTTTAAATGTTTGTAGTAGTTTTCCAAATACCTTTGTTGTTATTACTGTGGTTAGCCCACTTTTTGCACGGCCTTCTAATTTTCGTCATTCAACAAACGTCAACACATCACTTCACCTCACCTCACATCCATCATCGTTCACCATGCTCTCTTAATGAGTTCATTGAAACGTGATAGATAGAACGCATATGTGCCTCAGCCATTCAGCGAGTAGTCGCAAAAAATGTCTATTTCCTTAAGTGGCGATGGAAGCCATGAGATTCTAGCGGAATTATCGTCCATTAGAACAAATTTTATTGGTCAAATTGCCTAATTCCGAAATGAAAAGTAAGACATTAAGCAAAACGGGATAGTGGTTCACTTGATAAAAGCAACGTAAAGTGCCACGAACAAAAAAACCTAACATAGGGAATCTTTCTCGATTTCACTGTAACCACAACGGACACTCGGGTGGCCCAGTGGAATGTCAGCAATTTTTGTTGGCTTCAGACTCTGGCTGCTTTAGAAATAAAAAAAAATAAATTTTCAGTAACAAGAGGGTTTTAAGGGTTGTGAATCTCATATAATTGTGGAAAAGACCTCGCTCTATCGTTCTATGGTTGTGAATGATATGCGTGCTGCTGTTGACTATGTGTAACTATGGTCCATTATGAAAACACATTGCATTCATTGCTTGGAGGTATTTCGCGCTATGTTGAGTTCATTTCGGTGTTTTCTATAACCAAACGTTCCATTCAGTAACCATAGTGATCGAAATTAAATAACATTTAATTGTCAGCCGAATAACCGGCCACTGAACATTTTCGATGAAAGGCCTTTGTAAACGCGTAGAGAATAGATTTTCCGCTAACATACTTTCTGTTTTGATCTGCTATTGATTAGCTTTGATTATTGAACGAATAGATGAAGCATGGTAAAAAAAAAGCTCTGGAACCCATTGAACTGAAAACAGGCATATAGTGACCACATCGTGCACCGGGCCAGGAACGTAGAGCCCATACCGGGTATTGAGTGTTAATAAAGCTATATAGGAAAAAATTTGCTCAATGAGAGTCTATTACAAGAAGCAGTGAATGAGAAAGTTATTAGGGAAACTCATCCAATCTGATGCAACCAGCAGCATATCACTGGTTGGCTTCCGTACCTTATTTGGATCACAAAACTCGATTTCCTCATAAACTTCCATATTCCAACTTGTTGACAACACTATTCCATCGCGTCTGATTGTTTGTTAACCTGAAACATCAGGGATTCTCTTCAGAAATCACGAATAATGACATCGACTACGAAGAAGCAGAGATTAACAAAGAGTATTCAGTGAAAAAACGGAGACATTTCATTTACTGGATGAAGAAATTTTAAAAGTATTACTTATAAATGATGCCGCTGAAAAAGTTGAAGACGAAATATTATAGAAATAAGAAAGAAATAAGAAATAGAGAAAAGTTAATATTACTATTATTCGCATAAATACCTCAGGCTGATCCAATGACCTGACACAGGCGCAGTCCTCGCCCATGTATTAGTTTGTGCGGCTGCTATCCATCAACTAACTTAAATACTTACCACAAATAAGCAGTAGGTGTTTAAATGAAGCTGTTTCTTATGCGATTGCAAATCAATTTGTCAAGTTTTATCTGCTGGGGTTATGAAAGTGTTTGGCTGAATAGATCACATCTCAATTTAACCTTTCCAGGCTCTGAAAAAGACGAAGCCGCCGAAACGTATTGTCTCCTAATAAATTCTATAATAACAACCTCGTGTCTGCTTATTGATGAAAAACATCGAATTATCAATCAATGCCGAGATTAAGCGAACGGTCTGTAAAATTTTGCCGAAACGGATTAGTTAACTTAGTTAAAGAAACTTTGCTGCTATATTAGCTGAATGGAGCATGTGTAACGCTGCTGTTAAAGGTGGTTTTCAATAATGTACGCGGCCTTTGGTTCGATTCCGTGCTCCAGGCTAACTAAGCCCTTCATCCCTCCGAGGTCGACGAATTAGTGCCAGACCCGGCTTGAAAGATGAAAACACTGACGTAATACATCTATAGTCCCCGCAAATTATTTTATAGAGCATATAAGAATTCAATTACGTCTAAAATGCTTATAGGAGTTGAAT